GATGTTCTGACGTCACGGGTTTCAATCCTGGTCATTGTGTTTACAAAACGGTAAAAGATTATAGGATAATTGACAGCTAGTAAAGTATACTTTGAGGCACTTGGATGCAGAAATGTGCACAAGAAAGGTTTTAGGAAGATTGTTTTTTACATGCCCTGGACTTGGTCGGGAGGTGAAAGGGGAGCCTTTTTCTGCAATTGCGAGGGCTTTGTCTCCATTCAAAACAACCGACCGTCACGGTAGCTCATTCGGTAGAGCGCTCGCTCCGTGATCGGAAGGTCGTGTGTTCAAATCACGGCCACGGCTGACCTAAGTCGATAAAAAATAGGTAGCAACTGTTCCTTCGCCAAGCGCTTGGCACTTTGAAGTGAAAGTTGCGGTTCTTTCGGATGAGATCTTAAAACCGAGACCCAATGTCACGGTAGGCGTTGGCACAATAAAAACCCTCACTGCTCAATGACCCTGAGTCCCGAGTAAAGGTCCAAATTTGAAGCCCTTCACCGGTATATGGTGACGTCTCTATATAAGTGAAAATTCTCGCACGGGACGTAAAACAAATAACAATCAATCAATCAGAACAACCGTTTATGCCCGATCATTCTGAAATTTGTAAAGGCGTACGACGCCATTGAACTGTTAAAGAAGTTTCATTTCTAGTACATGATATTCACTGTTGGAACAGATAGAAAATATACAGGATTTACATGTATTTATATGTAATTAATTAAAAAACGAAGAAAGAAAATTTAAAATTTTCATTTCTATAAATATTTACGAAATCATACTTTAGAAATTCGTTCTATTCAGTCGAAGTCCCAAGTTGTCAACGTCTTCGTCTTTGCTTTCCTCTCTCTTGTCGGCATGTTTCCTTGGTTATTTCTCTTTAGTAGACGTTCATAAATAAAGATAGACCGTCCATAGTCAAAGGAATATCGTCGATGTCAAAATTTCTTCCGAGAAATTGTGTAGTCTACTTATTATACGTTAAAATCTATTCGACATATGTTTTCTTATGATAAGCTTTACGAGTTCTAATTGGCCACTGACACTATAAAGTTTCAGTACCATGTGACCCTTATCTAATGAGTGGAGATTTGTACTTCAGAGGACCCTATGTTACGGGCGTTTTATTGCCTAATTACGACCGTTTTTACGATTATTTAATAATTTATCGATAATTATATGTTTCAAGAATATCATATTGTAGTGTTTCATTTTTAAGAAATTTAGATACGTGATTAAAACCCCTTAAGGAATTAATATTTCACTTTGAAATAATACAAAACATTCTGCAATATGATTAAATTCCACGTTATGGGTCCATTGCATTTTTTAAAGTCCTTCAAAGAACTTTGCAGTGATATCTATGTTCTTAGAACAAACTTAAGATTTCAAGGAAATAAAGCTTGGAATGAATATTTAACAAGAGCAGTAATTGATAATTGGTTTTCCGTCAAATCTCTGTTATTTTATCATCAGTTTTCATCCTGATTTCTATTTTGAATTTATATTAAAAAAAACACAATATAAACATTGCAGACATAAGCATAATGACACGTTTTCTCCTAATATTACTTTAATACAAAGAATAATTATTTGGTAATAATCAAATGTTCACAAACTTATCATTTTTATTTAAATGTTTGAGTCTAACTTGACTTCCATACACGAGCTTCTAATATCTTCGAAGATATAAATCAGCATTTAACGAAGAACCGGAAAGGAGAGTTTTGTCCTCCAGAGAAGACATGTCGGTTAACTTACAAAAGATTGCAGCTTGCAATTGTATTCTCTGAAATAAATGAAAGGAAGTTAAAGAATTTTGTTGTCGGAGCTTTATGCATGTTACATGTGTACACATAGTGAATCCTAAAGTGTACGATTAACGTACTATTGGTTGAATTGAAAATTGTTCATCTGAAGTGAAATTAATTTAAAACATAAATTAATTTACTCTTATTATTCTAAGTAAATACGTAAGGTAATTAAGTACATAAGGGTGAATTAAAAACAATGACCAAACGCATATTTATCATCCCACACTAAAAATACAGGCAATGAAAATAGATTTCTATGTCTCTGCATATGTCTTTAGACAGTGTCTAAATACCTGCCAAATATCTCGTTGATATTTCAATTAACAAGAAAGTAATGCCCAAAAATGATGCTAAAATTGTCAGGAGTGCAACATCTTTTTTGTGACATTTTGAAATTTCAATATTTTTTGAAGATCTGTGAAATAAATAATAATGCATTATGTTGAAAATAAAGACTCTCCTGATAGTATTCAAAGTATAGAGCTTTACAGTGCAGGAAACTAATTTTGTTACAGCATCGATGCTGATTTGAATGCTTCCTTTGCTTGCTGATTTGAATGCTTCCTTTGCTTGCTGATTTAATGCTAGTAATCCTTATCCTGATGCTGTTTTATAATTAGGTCAATGCTACCGGAAGTAGCATCATGCTACCGGAAGTAGATAATGAATTTCAGCATTGCCGTTTAAAGCAATAAAAGTGCCTTTTACAATTATTTGATCATAATATCTCACTATGTATCAATAATGTGAATACTTTAACCAATATTCTTTTTTTCTTTTTTAATTTTGTACTGAATTAAAACTCATTGATTTTCTGATGCTAGTAGGATAATGCTGATTTTATGTAGGTCAATGCTGGTTTTATCCTTTGCTTGCTGATGCTGATCCTGGTAATGCTGTTTTTTAAATGCTGATGCTGATGCTAGCTCGATCCTGATGCTACTAATGCTTATGCTGATGCTGGTTTATGTAACAAAATTAGTTCCCTGCACTGTAAGTGTGGACTGTAGCAACTCTTGTTTAATTAAGTTGTGGTCATGGCTGATGTTTAAAAAAATGTTATACCATGTCAGGAGTGCAACAGAAAAAATGTAGTGTTTCCACAAAAAACATCAATTGTAATATTCTGAAAGAAAATTAAGACAAAAAAGAATTTTCGAAGTGTAAAACAATAACTGATATACATTTTAAAACTTAAAAATGTTATATAAATCACAAGCAGCATTAATGAGAGTCAAGTATATGTGCATACCCAATAATGTCAGGAGTGCAACATTTGATGTTTTGCTCCCAAGCATGAAAAAACTATTATCATTATATGATTTTCTGATTTTTATTTTGGAAAATAAAGACACAAAGAACATTTTTATCAAATAGATTTATCAATTACAGGATCTGTCTGTGCTTCAGATATATATTTCTATAGTCAGGAGTGCAACACATTTTTTTTAAAGATTCAAGTTGTGTGACGAAAACACTTCTATTCATGCTTAGAAGTATTCATTAATTAATAATGATATTTTTGTATAATTTAGTACTAAATTATTGACAGTTTTATAATTAAAATCCTCCCTTTTTCAATTTTATCAACTCAGATGTGTTTTTATCTTTTTTTGTGATCTTTTTAATGAACGTTAAAAATGAACACACTAAAAAATTGTCATAAAATTCAAGTAATTCCTCCTCAACTTCACTGAATCAACAGAACAAGTTCTTATGTAATTTTCACTTCACAATTCTTCTTTAAAGGCCCCTTTGCATTTGGTCAGGAGTGCAGCAAATATGTTAGAATTATAAATCATCCAATAAGAATAAAAATAAAGAAAACAATGATGAGTAGAATTTTTCTGTTGGGTTACTGTGTTTGTTCTCTAAAGGAAAATATGCTATAAAATATATTTTATCTTCTAAATGTACATTTAAGTAAGTTTTTTGACATGAATAGGGAATAATTCCAGAAAAAATGCGAATTTTAAATACTTTCATCTTTTTTAATTATGAAGTATTGGACTATAAATATTGCAATTTTATTATCACTTGATGTTGCCAACACTTTATGAATTTTTATGTTCTATGGTTTTAATTTTAAATTTTACTGCAGTCAGGAGTGCAACAAAACTGCTTTATAATTATCAATGCTTTTTTACTATCTTTACTAAAAAATAAGTTGAAAAAAATGTTTGATACAATTTGACGTTCAAAACATTATGTCTATCAACAAATTACAGAAATTTTACAGTCAGTTCAGGGAATAGTTTTCATCATTTCACATATATTTATAAATACAATTTATATATATTACACTTTGCAAATAATCATGCTTTAAGGTCTTCAAAATATGAAAAACCTGCCGTAAACGATGAAAAATATCAAAACGCCAAATTGATTTACAAATTAAGAATGGATTATTGGGTGTTATAATTTTTAAAACAATGTTAAATAAAATACATATCAGATGTCAGGAGTGCAACACAATAATGTAACACAGGGTCACTTCAAAATCTAATATTTTTTGTAAGAGAACTCGTATATAAAAAATCTTTTTTTGGCTTAGATTTAAAAAATTGACTTGGATGGACAAAAAAGTGAATTTTCGGGAATTTCATTGCTACATATTTTTTTCATATTAAAACTTTTCAAACCGAAATTGAAAAAAATAATGTAAAATAACAATCAAAAAGCCAATTTTTTGTCACATATACAAGAGAAGATACTCAATCAAGGTCTAGATTTAATCATTTAAACCCATTTTACCATTTTGAAGCATAAAAAACTATAATTTCTTGTGATTATGTATTTTAGAAAGTCTTTTAAGGTGTAATGATATTTTCTTTTTTCAAAAGAAATTTTACTAATAAAAATTCTGAATTTTTTTTTTATCCAATTGTCTTTTCTATTGCCACGTCAGGATTTTAAACTAGAATGCATGTGCAATATGATGATACAAGTGAAACATATGTTATAAGTAGTTGAATTTTTCCAAAAAATTCAGTTTGGTGGTCATTTTTTTAAAATTCACCCGTAACCAAATTTAAGATCAAAATTTAAATTTGTGAATGACAAAAAAGGTCTTCTTCAATTTGTTTAATTTTGAGCCGGAATCAAAAAGATGAAAAAGGACAAAGAAATTTACTTGCTACTTCATATCTAACAATAAAATTTCATTTCTTTTTATTAAAAAAGACGGAGTTCATAATGCGATATACATTACTGAAGAAGGAAACAGAGAAAGCAACACTCAAAGTAGAGAAGATACGACTGGAGATCCACTCTACGGGACCTTCGAAGATCCTTGTTACAGTACATTAACACTGAGGGTAAACTACGGCCCTGTACATTCTAGTGATGGAAAAGGATCTTCTGAAGATTTTAATCCATATGACTTAATGTATGAAGGGAAGGGAAATGTGGCTAGAGTACAAGAATCGAACGACAATAATTTCTATTTGGATAAAGAAAGTGTACAAACGCAAATCAGCTCAACTCAAAGACTGTATGAAGACCCGTGGAGAAATGATTATAGTAACTCCCTTTTGCATCACTCTTCACAAAGGCGGTTTGACCTCATGCCAGTTGATGAATGTTGCAGTGCTCCACGGGGAAAAGAATACGGGCCCTACGAGCTGGCATCTAGCGACTAACTAGGAAAGTTTAATCGACAAAGAAATAAATGGAAATAATTGAAATATTTTCTTAATTGTAATTCAAGTTAAAAAATAAGAAACAGATGTAACATTTATTAGCATGTCAATGTTTCAAATAAAATGTTTGATAAAAATCTAAAAATAGAAAATTAAAGATACTTAGACTCCTTTTTAAAAAGTTGACATTAAGAAGTACGAAGACAAGCAGCTTATCAATGTGATAATACTGTTTCGAACCCCCATCCCCACTTTATAAAACGCTTCTTTTTGATTGATTGTTTTTTTAATTTGATAATTATTACGACTATGTGACCTTCCCCTTCCAAGAAATATCCTGTATTCGCCTGGATAAATCTTAAATTATATGAATATGCTGATGTTCAGAGAGATGGTATGGAATTTTCATTATGAATATAAAAGGACTTTGTTTAATATAGAAATAAAAATACATACATACACACACACACACACACACACACACACACTCACACACACACACGCACACCCTTACACACACACACACACACACACACACACACACACCCTCACACACACACACATATATATATATATATACATGTATATATATATATATATATATATATATATATATATATATATATATATATATATATATATATATATATATATATATATATATATATATATATATAAAATGATATTTGGTACTTAATTTATGTATCAAACAAACACAAAAGACATGACCAATGACTACAAAATTAATGCTTAAGTTTACAGTTCTTGTTTAGGAAAACATTTTGATCAACGGAAAGAAGGATGCAACTTAGTAATGATTAGACTAGCGAAAAATGAATATCGTTGGCGTGATCGAGTGTCGTATATTATTGACATTTCCAAATGGGTTTTTTTTGGGTGATAACTCTGAAAATTAAATATGACGATTTCTTCTTCCCAAAAAACTAGACAGTGATTCCTTAAATATATATTGCCCCCCCCCCCCTCAGTATACGCTTAATTTTCTACGCACAGCTTACTTTTAACATTTTTTTTTAAATTTTCGGTTATTTTTAAACATTTCTCCACTTCTGAATTGGTAGCGGTATTTCTAGGTATGTCCGATTTCGCTACAGTATGCTAATTAAATAATTAATGTATCTAATTAAACGATTGAAACATTGAAATCAAATAATTGAAGCCATCCAAAAATTAAGGCCACAAGAGATGAGGACAGCTGTGTTCAGTGTCAGGTGATTGGTCACGGTAATTACTGTGTATCCATGTACACAGCCACAAGCGATAACGGGTATTAACTGGTGGAGGTGACGCTCATTACTGTATGGACATGGACAGTGCATATTTAGATAAAAGTTTTTAATAAATATTTGCAATTTGAAATACGAAAAAATATACATCCGAGTAACCGAGTACCGATTTTAGTATTCGATACTCGGACGTTCGATCGAGTACCCGGTTAACCGGGTACTCATTGACATCCCTAATATATATATATTTGATATTCTTCAAATGCACTGAAAAAGGCGGGTTTGTATAAAACTCCTCCATTATTTAAAAATAAAAACTTGCATGCATGCAGTTCGATGTTAAATTCTGATTGGCTGGCTCTTTGATTAGTAATTATTTTTCACAAAACAAACTAGACTTTATGAATAAATAAAGTGATCTTAAAGGTGCTTGGACACAGATTTGAAGTTAATATTTACTCAAATTTTCTGTATAATTTCATGACTTATATGTTGTTATAGCATTTCATACGAAAATTTGATAAAAATCTTATTTTATCTGGAAGTTATTGAAACTTTGAATTTCTGGACGCGTTTGATAGACACATCCTTGCACTTTCACAAATTTTAACTTTATCCTTATTACTTTAGAAAAGTAGCAATTTTGTTGTTTATTAATGAAAAATATTAAAACTATAATGCAGATATTTCAGAGTAGAAATTTAGAAAGCAAAATCCTCTCACCAGTATTGTCAGTCCGTGCTCAGTGGTGTGTGCAGAGTTTAACAATTGAACACACCCGGTGAAACGTAAACATTAACAACAACAGAGCTCGTGCCCTGTTTACAAAAACAGTTTACGTTTCACGGGTGTATTCAATTTGTTAAACTCTGTACACAACTACAGAACACTGAGCACGGGCTGACAATACTTAAGTGAGTGGGATTTGCTTTTGCACATTTTTACTCTGAATTTCCTGGATTATACATGTAATATTATTCATTAATACACAACAAAATTGCTACTTTTCTTAAGTATTAAGGATAAGGTTAAAAATTGTGAAAGTGCAAGGATGTGTTAATCAAACGCCTCCCGAAATTCGTAGTTTCAATAATTTGCAGATTAAATAACTTTTTAATTTTATTTTCGTGTAAAATGCTATAGCAATATATAAGTTATGATATTATACAGAAAATTTGAGAAAATATGAACTTCAAATCTGTGTCTATGCACCTTTAAGTTCTGTCTATCAGGATATAAAAATTAAGGCTGATGACGCTACATGTGCATAGTGCTAGAATGTGGACTGTCACTGTACATCCAAAATATGTTATATCCTATTTAAAAAGGACACTCAAAACTTGTTTACGTATTAATTATATATGCCATCATCGACTATACGCAGACTACAAAGCAATCAATTAATATAACGTCATCTGTAAAAAATTGAATGTGTATGCAAAGAATATTTTAAAAACTACCTTTCACCCCATAAAAGCATATAGGTTAGTGGGAGGAAATGGTCGAATCTTTCCTCTTTGAATGAAAAGGTGAAGATAACGAACAGTGATCGATATCAAAAAATCTATAAACAATACAAATCTGTGAAGAGGCATAAAACACGGACCCCTGGAAATTCCAGAGGTGGGATCAGGAGCCTCGGAGGAATAAGCATCCCCAGTACAAATCTTTGAAGTGGGCATAAAACACGAACCCTTGTAAACTCCAGAGGTGGGATCAGGTGTCTAGGAGGAGTAAGCATCCCCTGTTGACCGGCCACTTCCGCCGTGAGTCCTATGTATTGATCAGGTAGACGGATCATTCCGTAGTCAAATTCGAGATAAAAACAAAGGTCTCGCAATTGCTATGAAACAAGACAGCCAAAATACGACCCTATGATGTTATATTTGCTTAAAAGGTCACTATAACGACCATAAAATTTACGAAATGCGAACTTTAAACGTGGTTGTTGAAATCCATGAACATCAACTTATCTGTCAGTTAACCTGCCTCTGTTAAAAATTGATTGTACTCGGATCATGCTCTTGAGTATCGAATAAGTTGGGAGATGAAAACACCATATGCAGATGATAGCGGAATATTTCTACATAAATAAGGAAAGTTGGCAATGGAAAAGTTGAAGTCATCTCGTTTGTGATACAATTTAGTTGTTAGTTGGCCCTTATAATGAACAAATATCAATAAATAATGAGACCACAGGAGAAAGAGGACTAAGGGGATCAAAAATTTCAGTTCAAGTTGAAAATGAGATTAAAAAAAACATTACAGCAAATTTGCCATAAATTCGTGGATTGTAAAGTGTGGTGTATATTGCAACTGACAGATAATAAGAAAATGTACATGTGCGTAGCTCTCATCCCCCTAAATAAAAAAAAATGTTCTACTTAAAAAGCATGTAAACATTAAAACTGTTTTCATTAAAAATGAGTGGTTTCATGGATAAAGTTTAAAAACATTTGCTGAATATGTTTTTTTCTTCTCACATTTAAAATTATAGACAATATTTCAAATAAATAGTGATTATAATACTTACCTTTAAAAAAATCTATGTAGTTTATGACCAAGGGATTTTCAATGAATCCCAGTGCTTTTGTCCCTGTTTGTTATCTTTATGATATTAACGGGCTTAATATTTAGAATACATGTATATTTTGAAATCCCATATAACATTACAAAGAATGACCTTTTTGTTGTTGGGGAAGTACAAACACCTTTTCAAGTCAGTTACCCCTATTAACACTCAACTGATTCATGGGGCAATAACTTTTTTTAAAAAAAAGGTATTTTCCTTTTTCTTGTGCATATGTATATAAAATTATGAACATAATTTTTGTTCAATTTAGCGCCTTGGTACATGACTAAATCTTATGAACATGAAAGTTTTTGCACATCCGTTTCATTGAACAAACCAAACCTTGTCTCTATGAAATATTTCGGTCTGTCTTGAATTACCGGAAATGTTTTTAAAATGTTGACCAGCGAGCTATGCCGTGACACCCTTAAATTTACGAAAGAAAAGAGGCTTTCATTGCAATTTTTGCTAATTGTAATCCAATAGACGTTGTTCTTGATGTGAAATTGTAAAATGTTATTTCTTTATATATAGCTGTATTTTATCTTCAACTCTTTGCTGAGATAAACACTCGAAACAGAGCAATGGTCATTATATAAATTAAAGATGCTTTCTCATATTCTGTATCGTTTGCCCTATGGTTCTAAAATAGATACATTCGTATAAGAAGAAAAAAATGCTTATACATCAACCTGATTTAAATATTATTTAAAATATGGAACAGTATTTCCTGTTTTTGGGTAACGTGCTTGCACAAAAATGTAAGTTTCAAGTTAACTTTAGATGTCACAGTCGTTTAGAGAAGAAGTCCAAAAGTTTAAAAAACAGCGCGATTTTCAAACAGACAACATGATGACATGCACATATATTTCACTTTAGCCCCTGGCTCAGATGGGTAATAGTAAACTCTGATAAATATTAGAAGTCAATGATCGAAAGCAATTTAACAATGTTTGTATAGTGAGTGTAACTTTCATTCCTAGTATCTGAAAGACCATATTCATTTTATAAAGTTAACACAAAACGTAATGTTCTACATATCAGGAAGTGAGGGCCATGTCCATGCATTTAATCAGTACAAGATATTTATGTTATTTTATATTTAAATTGTATATCCTTAGTGAGCTTATGGTATCATGAGAACAAGATAAAACAAGTTGTTACATACAAAAAAAATTAATGTGCGTTTGTTTTTTTTTTCGAATAC